ATATAGGAAGATCTAGATTACTGCAATAACAATTAGCTGAAAAAAATTGAGTTTTATCTGAGTTAAAGTTCAACATCCACTGAGAGCCCCATGCTGTAGAAAAAGTGAGATCCTTTTTAAGCTCAAATGCCTCCTCTAAGAAAATCAGAGAGTGTTGGCTTCTTATCAAGACAAAAGTATGACCAGCAAACAATGCCTCCTTAGATGTTAGAATTTCTGGAAGATTGTTAATATAAATTAAAAAAGAGTATAGGCCCAAGGATAGGAAACCCTGAAGTTACAGGATATGAAGAAGAGTCCATCGAGGACAACTTTTATACTATGATAGGGTTAGAAAGGATTCAATAATTTTAAAAATATTACCTGATACACCGTAAGAAGAAAGCTTATGGAGAAGACTAGCATGCCAAACTTTATCAAAGGCTTTAGAAATGTTGAGAACAATATATATTTGTTTGATTGCAGAAATATATTGCAAACATCATTTCAAAAAAATTCAAATAGATATTATATACACACATACGCGCAATCGCCTGATAGCAAATGCCAGCCAAATCTTTTAAAAGACTACTGGAAATATTATTTTGATGCAATTAAGCGACTCAACTTTTTTCTTTTTTTTTTCTTTCTTTCTATTAATTCAATAAAGTAAATTGTTTGTTTTGTGTTATAACAAAGATAACTTTTCTCAGTCACATATTTTTGATGACTTTAACTACCTAACAAAATAATGCAATAACATTTTGCAAGTATCGGTGTTAAAGTTTGTTTTATGTTTTTTCTATTTTCTATATTTTATATTTAGAAAAATTTAATTGTTGCAGCATTAAATTGTTTGAAAGTTAAAATACTAGTTTATGTTTAATTGTTTTTCGAACTTTTTCTATGTATTTAGAAAACAGTAATAGAAATAAATTTGTAAAAAAAATAATTTGATGTACATGGGCCGCATCATTACAGTAATTATTCTTAAATCCTTAATGGGGAAAAAAAATTAAAAAAATAAAGGGGGGGGGGGAAGACTATTATTAATTTTTGGAAAAATTTCCCACCCACCCTAAGACCCCTCCCTCCTACCCCGTTTATTAATTTTTACTTGTTATCAACAAAAATTTTATATCTCAAAACTAAAAAAAAAAATTGTGAATATCAGCCTTAAAAATTAGAAAATAATTCTTGCGATTACTGATAAAAACAAAAAGTTTCAGTGTAAACAGGCTTTAAAAATCGCTGACCTAGTAAATCTCTAAATTTGTATTAGTAAAAATCTAATTTGTCTAAAATGAGCTTTTGGTTTATTTCACTAATTTATAAAACTATTTTACTAATTTATAAAACTCACTAAATTATAAAACTTATATCAACATATTAAATCCTATTGAAATATGATAAAACAGCTGTTAAAAAATGCACAATTGACCGCAAGCCAAACTAAAATTAAATAGTTTTGTGCCTGTTTTGTATATTTTGTAATAAAAAAATATTGGTTTGGATTGATAAATTGAAATTTTTTATAAAAAATGCTTTTATTGTAACATAAAAAATTTCCTATCCTCTTTTAACAACCAGCCCCCCTCCCACTTTTATTAGACCTGGACTAAAATAAAATTTACTTTAAAAGAACAAATTAATTCGAATTGTATTAAATTGTTTTGTCGAAATTTTTTGAAATTTTTATTAAAAAATGATGACGGATGACTCAAAAGATTGGCAGACAACTAATGTTAGATAAACTTTTACTCTCAGTCACCTGGCAGACGACCGACTAAAATCTGACTGTATACCACTGTATATATATGCAACTTGATATTAGGAATTAGGAAGCCTTATAATTTTTTATCATATGGTCAAAATCATACCGCCTCCTGAACAGAAATCAATACACAACTAAAATGACAAAACATCATTATCGTTATAATTGTAATATTTATTTTGCGCTTGCATGAGTTGGGTGTTTCTAAAAATGCAAATTCTCCATAATACATAACCTAGAGCGTTCTCTTTCCTTAAGTGAAGTTTTTTGTCATTTGTAATGTACTCCCTTTAGGTTTTCCTATATTTACATATTTTTTTCCTTCAATTTTCAATGATAAACCTGTTAAAGGCTGAAAATTTTATATGAACTTGGCCTAGACATATATTACTCTTGTCGTTGATGACTTTTCTAATCTAACAGCTGATTTAATTGTACTCTGACATAAATAACTTACCAACATACTGTATCTTTCCACTGTATCGTTATTTCAATCTACTTTTTAACTTTAGTAAAAGAATATTCTTTACACTGGAAATCAAAATATTAAAAGCACTTTATATGCCTACTAATACACCTCTTTTAAACATTGTAATGGAAATTTAAATAAAAATTTAAATTTTTTTTTCAAGATCCACAAATGCAACCCACAGATCTATTTTTGTTTCCAAAAATCTTTCTTGAACTTGCCTTAAAATAAATGTTATATGTGTATTTCCTTTCCTGGCTTAAAACCAAAATGCATGTTATACATTTCATAAACTGCTCCTTATTTTGATATCAATAATGATTTTTAAAATTTTCATTACTATAATAAACCAACTTCTATTGCATCTCTGCTGCACTAGAAATTGGTTACCCTATTTCTGGTGTATCATTATTTTTTTGTAGCCATGCCTAACTAACTGTCAATCCTATACATTGTTATGAAGGTAACAACTGATCAAGCGTATTTTTTAAGTAAACAAAGCACTGAAGCGTGAATGCCTCTAACAGTCGATTTTGATTAAAAACAATTGGATCAAAACTGATCCAATTGCGTCCAATCAAATCGACATAATATAAATAGAAGAAAAAGAGAGTTTTTTATGTTAAGAAGAAGATATATATATATATATATATATATATATATATATATATATATATATATATATAGAAAAGAAGATATTAAGAAGAGTCTAATAAAATAATACATATATAGTGAATATTATGTTAGTTAATGTAAAATAGTATCTGTTATATTATTTGGAATTTTAATAATACAGAATAAATTGTAATTGTATTGCGGTAGTGGTGTAGTGGTAAATTGTATGCGGTGTAGTGGTAGATGTAGTGGTGTAGAGCGCTCGCTTCAAAAGCAAGAGGTTCCAAGTTCAATCCAAACCACATCCCTGGTAGAACCGCGCTCAACTCGTTTCTCCGTGCAGCGGCCTTGTTCGTCAAGGTTTGTGTTTCGGAGTTATAGAGTTAAAAGAGGGTTATAACCACAAATAAGTAGCATCCTCGCCTGTAGTGGCCTTCTCAGCCTTGAGGAGCCTTGAGGGGGTGTATGTATGTTGCTATAATACATTATTTATTAATAACAAAAGAACTTGTTTCACTATCTACCTAAAACGATTTAAAGATATGCATGTATATTATGTATAGTAAACTATTGCAGATCCACTGTAAGCCTAAAACTTGTCAGTTTTTTACAGTGGATGTTAAATAAGTTTGGCATTATGGACAGAATGAATTGAATAATAGTGGTTTGGAATTATTATTAATAACTGTTGGAATATCACAAAGAATAAAGGTTACGGAAAATTAAAAATAAATATATAATTTAAATAAAAGTAAACACTCTTGTTATTGCTGTGTAAAAACATCTAAAAATATTAGCAACATTTCTTCTTTGATATTTCTTAGACTAAAACATATTCCATTAAGTACTCCCTTAAAATCAGTCATCATTTTTTCAATGTAGAAATCTTTCTACATTAAAAAAAAAATGTAGAAATCTTTCTTTCATCTCTGTTCTACCTGTTTTAAGTGTGTATGCTAAAACTATATAAGGCACTGATCTTATAATAGCTAATCCTAATACCATCATTTACTCATGCATCTTATCTCAACTATGAGATTTATTTTTCTGCTTCTAAAATACTAACACCTGACACTCTGTTGCACCCAGCCCAGAAGAACTCATGCCAATAACCATCTTATCTGATCATCTAACAATTTTCTCTTTTGCAAACAGCATATAACTAGCTTTTTTTTAACTAACACTTTATCAATCTCATCATTACTTTTTAATATAGAACCCACATTGGCATACCAAGTCTTCCATCTCGCATCAAGTAGTTAGTGTTAGACTTTCCACTGACCAATGACACCTCTTATTAACCCACTTAATAGGAGATGCAATATTTTTTGTGTTTTCAACTTAATATTATATGATTATGAATAACTGAAATTTAGACATAAAACATTCCTCATTTCTAAAAATCTGTACCGCATACATCAATTGATCACTTTTTATACAAAAAAATATCTACAGGTATATTGATAAACCCATATCTGACCAAATTTATAAGTATATAATAATACAAATCTTCTTCTTTTGTCAATTTCACATGCAACTTAATGAGAACTGTTACACTATAAATTAATATATTTTAACACTACTTTTAAAATTAGATTTTATCTTATATAGCTAGGAGTGCTCAAATGGATACTTTAAAAATAATAGACTACTTTAAAACTCAATAATTATATTAAACACAAAAAAAACTAAACTTAATATTACAACATTATTATAGGGGAACACACAGTTACACAAAGATATTTCTGCGCATGTGTAAATTGTGTATTTAAAAAATTAATGCATTGTTTTACTTTTATTTTCACTTACCACATCTAATTTCTTTTTTTCGATATCTAAAGGTAATCAAAATAAGTTAATTTAAGAAATAGTATCAAAAGTTATTTAGCAATAATAAATTAGTCAAAGGAGAAACTAAACAAAAAACTAAGACATAAAAGATAAAACACTAAATAAGAAACAACAGAAAAAACACTAAGAAATCAAAGATAAAGGATAAATTAAAGACAGACTAAGAATCTAACAAAACAAAACAAAAATAAATACAATAGAAGCTAAAAAAAATCCAAAATTGTAATAAAAAATTAGGCAAAAGCACAACACAAACTTTATAAAGAAAACATGTTCAATAACATCTTAATATGATAGAATATAAATAGACTATTGGCAAGGCCGGCGCGATAGGTGTGTGTGTGTGTGTGTGTGTGTGTGTGTGTGTGTGTGTGTGTGTGTGTGTGTGTGTGTGGACTATTGGTACAGCGTATCAAAGCAAAAATAAAAAATAATCACATTCAATTTGTTTCTTTTTAAACGTTAAATTATTGCTGCTTATCTATTAAGTTATTTTTATTAAATTAATTTTTTTTTTACTTATATCTCATTTTGCTTTCATTTACTAACAAAAACTTATTCCAATCTCCTTCTGTAATTGGTTGAACATGAGTAAACATTGAAAGCTTTTGTTAAAAAAAACAATATGATTACATATACATTTATATTAAAAACATTTATACTTGTAGAAAACAAAATAAAAAATCAATTTACCAGTTGAGAGAACTATATGAGAATCCTTTTCAAATTCTTTTTTCTTTATCAATGATGAGAAATTTAAACCCTTTGGTATCTAAGTAAATAAACATATTTTGTCAATTACTATGAGCATAACACTAGTGTGCATTACTAAAAATTATATATATTGTAGTTTTAAATAAAAAAAAAATTGTTTAAAAATAATACCATTTAATAAAAAGTAAAAAAATATAATAAAAAATAATATATAAAACAAAAAACTTTGATAACTGAGCAATGGTAAATTCTTAAATTTTAAATATAGGAATCACTGTTATTATTTTTAAATTTTAGTTGCAACCACAAGTAACAGGTATATTGTATACAATAAATTTGTAAATTTATAAACAACTCCATTTTTACAATAAGTTCAATAAAATAAAATATCGTAAAAGCTTTCACAGAATTATGCAAAAATAAAGTAGCATAAGTTAGTTTATGCTAAAACTACATATTTGGTTTCAATTGTCTTAAAAAGATATTTTATTAGTACTTTTTGTTTGCATACTTATTTGAATTGTTATTGTTTTATTTTGGTGTTCATATTAGAACTTTTATTTTATTGTGTTGTCATATTTTCTTCCAATGATATGATAAGTAATTTGATTTAGTTATTTTTATTCATATTATAAAGTGGATCTACACTTTCAATGAGTTAGAGTCTAGCAGTTTTAGCAATGAGAATTCTAAATTTAAAAGAATAGTTTGATGTAATATTTAAAATTTCAACTTGTTTGTAAAATTTCAACAAAAAGAATGAATATTAAAGCATAGTAAAAAATTGACTACTTGTTAAGTTTGCAAATTAACTCTTTTAATGAAACTAAACTGTTAATTGATTTTTTGTGGTACTCCACTGGCTAAATGAAATTCCACAAAGTTTCATTTTTTTAAAAGAGAATTAGCATGAGAGAATTAAAGAGTTTTGGAGAACACTAATGTAAGACTGAGACATGAATATTGTCTAGACCATAAGTTACAGAAAAGTTAAAGAAACTACCTAAAAAATAACGGAATGATTAAGATAGGATGTCATGAGAGTGTGATCATAGATTCAAAAGATGAATTAGAAAAAAAGCTCTTTGCAAACAGTTCTGTCTTATTCTTGGGAGAGGTATTAAGATCAGACCCATGTATGAAAGATTGAATATTTAAAATTTTTTTGTTAAAGACATAATTAAAGTTTTTCCAAAGTCTTTAGAACCTCACTTTTGAGATAAAATAAAAGATTTTATATACTGAGAATAATTAACCTAACTGTTAAACAATATCTTTTTTACCATCACAGTAAAAAAAATTCCATAAAAAAATCAGTCAGCCTTACATAGCAAATTAAGGAGCAAAAGTATGTGATTTGGCATGTTTGAAAAATGAGTCTTAAAGTTAAATACCTGGGTTAGAAATTTAGATAAATATTTTGAACTTTAGAGCCAGCAGGGGTAGTGGTAAGAGCCAATATGTGTGATGAGCATTAAAGTCAGCAGCAACAACAATAGTAGCTGAGGGATATAAGAAAGGGCACAGCCAACTTGATCAAAAACAATTTTAAAAAGATTGTAAAAAAAACTAACATATATAAAAACTGCTAAACATGCAGACAATACATTCATACTCTTCTCTAATGATGATATAATCCAAACCAAAGCATAACTTAACAAACATAGCACATAAAGAAAATATTAAGAAATAATGGTAATCTGGTAGAACATTTAAGAAATGTAAGGATCAACATGAACAGGATTTGCACATTCAAGGAGACATGACCACTCTTTGAATCTAAACTCTCACTACCTTTTAAAAAAATGACATCCAGTGTTTTAATAATGTGGTCCTTCTGGTATTTACCTATATACTAAAAATAGTGCATCTGGGTGAATTGGAAAATATCTTGTTTTTAAGATTTAAATTTTTCTGACCCTAATTAATGTAAAAAATCCTAAACCTTAGAAAACAAAATATCTGTATGCGGACAAGACATTTTATTTAAAAAGATAAAAGCATCACTTGACCACTACAATGTGCAAAAATAACCATGAATATGCAAGGAATATATTGCTGCATCTCCAATAAGGTTAAATTTAAAAGTATTAAACTATGGACTGCTGGATAAAGTTCACTAACTTGATAGTTTTTTTAATACACTAACTTTTTTTTTTTTTTTTGAATAATAATATTATATTATTATAAACTTTATACTTTAAATAAATTTTATGATAAACTGGATTTTTAGTTTTAAATTTGTTTATAGCAATTAAAAAAAAAATTTTCATTAAGTTTATTTAACTGTTTAATTTTACAATAGTTTAATACATAATCAAAAATAGAACTTGTTTCACTATTTACCTAAAACAATTTTACAAAATTTTTGGTGTATATTGAGGGGGTGTATGTATGTTGCTATAATACATTATTTATTAATAACAAAAGAACTTGTTTCACTATCTACCTAAAACGATTTAAAGATATGCATGTATATTATGTATAGTAAACTATTGCAGATCCACTGTAAGCCTAAAACTTGTCAGTTTTTTACAGTGGATGTTAAATAAGTTTGGCATTATGGACAGAAATTAAAATTGGTAAAAATAACAATTAATATTTTAATTTACAGTATGTTAGAATTTCCTTGTTTTAGATTACCAAAGAATCAGAAGTGTTAATACAAGGTGGAAAAAATAGACATATACCCTGTGATGAACATGCATGCTTTTGATAAGTAAAAATACTAGTTCTATTAAAATAAGTTTTTTTTTTAATTCCAAAATAAGAATCTTTTTTTGTAAACATAAATAAAAATTCCATTTTTAAAAACATAATCTAACAATTCTGTTTTTTACAATCTATTTCAAATAAGCAAAACAACAATAAAACATATATGATTTAGATAAAACAAATTAAAAAAATAACTAAATATAAACTAATAATAGAAAGAAATAAAAAAGATTTACTTTTTGCTGTTTTGAAAGTTTTTCTGAATCTGAGTCTGCCCAAGAATTGTCACCAAGCTTTTCTGAATAGCTAATATAATGGAATTCTTAAAAATTATTATTTAATATTTAAATATTATATATATATATATATATATATATATATATATATATATATATATATATATATATATATATATATATATATATATATATATATATATATATATATATATTTATAAGGTTTTGTGTGTGTGTGTGTGTTGTGTTAGGTGAACTTATAGAGTTTGACTAGTATATATATATATATATATACTAGTTTGACTATATATATATATATATATATATATATATATATATATATATATATATATATATATATATATATATATATATATATATATATACACACATATATATACATATACATATATATATATATATATATATATATATATATATATATATATATATATATATATATATATATATATATATATTTATAAGCTTTTGTGTGTGTGTTGTGTTAGGTGAACTTATAGAGTTTGACTAGTTCTGATTAACAAGATTAAACTTAAGCAACAAAGCTTTGAACATTAAATAAACAATTTTAAAAGTACCAAATTTTATAACCACTAAGTAATCCAGGACTCTCACAACAAGCTCAAAAATTTACCTACGTAAAACAATGGTTGAAAAAATTAAAAAATCACAAAAATTCTATAAAAAAATTCCAAGCCTCAAAGAAATAAAAATAAAAGTTTTTCATTTAAAGTCACTTGTTGACAAAAGAAAAAGTATGCATTACGACAGGCAATGAAACTTACTGCACTTTTTTTTTAAAGCATTTAAACAATTTCAGGTAATTGTAAAAAAAGATATCCCAAAAAACAACACAAGAAGCCAAAAACATTAATGATTTAAAAAAAAAGAAAAAAGAAAATGAGCTGCTAACAAGTAATAAAATTTTACAAGCACAGATAACAAAGGTGAAACACAAAACTCACAAATTTTAGCAACAACCAATCAGAATTTTTTTTTTTTTTTTTGAAATCATTATTAAAAAAAAAAAAATTTTACATTAATTTATTTTTAACTTTTACCAAAAAAAATTATTTAAAATAATAAATAAAAATATTATTATTTACCATTAAGGTAAACAATAACATTTTAACTTTAACTTTAATATGACAAGTAAGGTGTTCTTAAATAAAGAAAAATAATTCAATAAATAACTTTTACCATTTAATAAAGTTTAAACTAGAATCATTTTATAAACAATTCCATAACAGTTATGATATTGTTTATAAAATATACCATAACAGTTATGACATTGTTTATAAAATATACCATAACAGTTATGATATTGTTTATAAAATGAATTTAGTTAAAACTCTAGTTAAGTTATGGCATAACTTAATAACAGTTTTTTATTGACCAATTTTTAAAACATTTACATGATCTATTAAGAAATAATATAAAAAACATTAAATTTATATATTTTTTTAATATTATATTTTAACCTATTAAAAAAATATGTCTATATGTATGTGTATATTTATGTATGTGTATATTTATGTATATGTATATGTATATGTATGTATGTATGTATGTATGTATGTATGTATGTATGTATGTATGTATGCATGTATGCATGTATGCATGTATGCATGTATGCATGTATGCATGTATGCATGGATGCATGGATGCATGGATGCATGTATGTATGTATGTATGTATGTATGTATGTATGTATGTATGTATGTATGTATGTATGTATGTATGTATGTATGTATGTATGTATGTATGTATGTATGTATATATGTATGTATGTATGTATTTATGTATGTATGTATGTATGTATGTGTATGTGTACATGTGTACATGTGTGTATGTGTATATGTGTGTGTTTGTATGTATATATGCATATTCATAAGCCTTTATACTAGAAAAGTAGAATTGTGCAGATGTATTACAGAAGAGTTTATTTTAATAATATTGTTGCAAGCACCATTAAGCAAGTACTTAAAACTATAATGAAAAAAAATGTTAAAGTTTCTTTGTGACAAGACCTTATTATGGTCTTCTTAGAGAATTTGTGTTCTTTATATTTATTCTTAACTTTTTCACTAGTAATTATTCGTATCTTAAACATTTGTATTTTAAAACATGCAGTAAAGAGCAAAAAAAAAAAAAAAAAGAAAGAAAGAAAAAAGATGCAGTTGATTATTTATGGCAACTTGTTGACTGTTAAATATTACATATCAAGCTTACAAATTATGTTAATTTATTCAGAAAAATCAAGAAATATTGCACTCAATTCTTAATTAAGTTTCTTTTAAAAAAAAAAAAAAAAACATCTTTACTTCCAACAAGGCTGCAAGCAACCACTATTAGAGTAGGAAGTTACTGAAAAAAGAAAAATGAAATTTGTAGAGCAAGATAACTATTAACAGATGACTTAAAAGATTGCAAATTATATGAATTAGGAAAACAATATGAAGGAAGCAAAATCTAAAGGACTAATGTTCAAGGAAGAAAACTAGACAAATAAGAATTTTAGGAGCACTTAAGAACAGTCACAGTAAAAGGATAAGACTTAATCAAATGACAAGTAACATGAGAATGAATTTTAGTTGACGGCATAAGAGACGCTAGCTCTATTTAGCAGTGCCTATTATAGTTGACTTTATGCCTGTAGATGCAAAGCCATTACTGATTGTAAAGATTGTCCTACAAAATATTTATGTGGTTTTGCATTTTTAATAAATTTTGATCAAATACCGTTAAAAAACTTCTACATTTTTTTATATATAAATGCACGTTTTTGAACTCATCAAAAATTGCTATTATTTTAATCCATTAAAATTACTGATTAAATTATCAATATTTGTTCAAAACAAATATTGATAATTTAATCAGTAATTTTAATGGATTAAAATTACTGATTAAATTATTAATATTTTGTTGGCTTTAGTAAAGTATGTGCTGAAATATTCGTAAAACTCAAATTTTTCTACCCTGTCCACACATTTTTGGACGCTACTGTATATTTTGTCCACTCAGGTTATTATACCCTAAAATGCCCCAACCATATGCAACCACATATTTTTATTTCTTTACCAGTTTACTTAATAATGGTCTTTTTCATGTATCAAAGTTTCAACATGAACCCAAAAAAGCCAGTAATAATGTTTCAAAATCAATCCAAAAAATAGCAAAATTCATAAACTTTAATTTTATATAAATATCAGCTCTGGAAAGTTAAGAGAGTAACATTGGATTGGGGGACAACTGCCTAAGTTTAAATATTGAGATAGCAAATCTGTATATGGGCAAATACTGTAAGTACAAACAGTATAAAATTAGAATTTCATATTTTTAATACATTCATATGAATTGCATAAGCACACTAAGCTTTTAAATTTTTTATAAATAAATATGTATTTGAAAAATTCAATAAACTTTAATTCAATAAACTTTAATTAAAAATTCAATAAATAATAACCCAGATACTGCAAATTGCAACTTCTTAAATATAATTTTATTAATCAAGTAATTAGATAAAATAAAAAAGAAGAATTGTGTTAAAAATTAAATACTAAAAAACCTTACCTTTCCTCTGATTTTTCTGTAGCTAAAAAGAGCATTATTAAACATGTATTTATATAAATATATACATATTATAATGTATATATTTATACATTATAATATGTATAATTACTTATATATATATGTATATATATATATATATATATATATATATATATATATATATATATATATACGCGAATCGATGTCTTTTGGTGAAAAAAGAACCTTACTTTTTTTTTTTTAAATTTAAATGAGTTTTAGAGGTTCCTCTTTGGATTCTAAATTTATGACGGATCCTAATATTGTTGAAATTTTTTTTCTTCTAAACTATATCAACCTGGTACTCAAAAGAAGCAAAAAAATATGTTTATTTTGAATATAATATTTGTTTTATTTCAAAACTAAATAGAAAAAAATATTTTTTTTTTATTAAAAAACCCCCGTCTTCATCAAAACGGGGGTTTTAAGGTATATTTTTGCAAATATTTTTTTCACTAAAAAATTTTTTTTATTAAAATTATTATTGATAAAACAAGCATTTTTTCCTGCTTTTTTTGAGTCCAAGGTTGATATTGTTTAGAAAAAAAAAATTCAAAAATGTTAGGATCCGTCAAGGATTTAGAATCCAAAGAGGAACCTAAAGGTCTCATCAAAATCAAAAAATACTTTTTTACTTTCATCTTATAATTAATAGACATTGATTCGTGTCTCAGGGATATTGATTTTTAAACTTTTTTTTTTTGCTATGAAAATCAATCCACCCTAATATATATATATATATATATATATATATATATATATATATATATATATATATATATATATATATATATATATATATATATATATATATATATATATATATATACACAATTTTATAATGTATTCTACAAAATAGAGTGCTCAATGTTCTTAAAAGAACAGACTATAACAAATTAGTAGAGAATAAGACTAATCAGAAATGCATCCTTTCTAATGAGTCTTTATTGATGAAACTGTTAAATATAAACAGTGTTGAAACATTATTGATGAAACATAGTGTTAAATGAAAAATTTTGTTAAGTGATTTTCTACTAATTTATATATATATATATATATTATATATATATATATATATATATATATATATATATATATATATATATATATATATATATATATGTATATATATTACATACATGTATTCAATATACTTTATTTGACTCCTCATTAAAATTTTTAAATTGATTATTAATATAATAATAACGCTAAATAGTTTACTTTCTGATTTGAACAGATTTAAAATTAGTAAGCAAAGGAATTTGTAGAATAAAGTCTACCTTCAAAATTTTCAGTAGGTTGTCCAAATATTGGTTTTGTTGGTATAACAGCAGCAGTAAAGCTTATTGCTGACCCACGAGATCCAGAAGAACCAGAAGGGGAGAACATTTCATTGAGAGATTTTGCAACTGGAGAAAATAATGCATCTTTTGATAAAGGAGATTCTCTGCTTGTTGGTGTTTGTCTGTTTACTTTTGCAGTGTGAGATTTAAGAATAGCACAAATACTAAAAAAATAGAGAAATATTTTTAAATACTTAGAAAATAGAGCATCGGTTTTAATACTAAAAAAAAAAAAAACTTAAAAAAAATGTTAAAATTGTTATGCAAAGCTTTACCAAAAAATTGTTTTTTTAAAGTTTGTTATGAAAATTTATTGTTTATATATTTCATATATATATATATATATACATATATATATATATATATATATATATATATATATATATATATATATATATATATATATATATATATATATATATATATGTATATATATATATATATATATATACATATATATGTAATATATATATATATGTAATACATATATATATATATATATATATATATATGTATATATATATATATATATATATATATATATATATATATATATATATATATATGTATATATATATATATACATATATATATATATACATATATATATACATATATATATATATATACATATATATAAATATATATACATATATATATACATATATATATATATATATATATATATATATATATATATATATATATATATATATATATATACTCAAACAATAAAAAACCATATCAAACTCATTTTAACAAAATACTTGACTTACGTCCTTTTAACAAAAAGCAATTCAATTACAATTGGTATAAAAAATTCAAAAAACATTTGGAATTAGACTTAAAAATATGTGGAATAATAAACTTACCATGACCCGTATAATTCGGGTAATGATAAATCTATAATTTTTAGTGGTAGAAAATAAAAAATCTGTCAAATCTTTGTTTTGAATTAACGAATGTTTAATACTTTATAACTTCTTATTCTAAAATTGAAAACCTCTATAAAATAAAATAATAAAAAATGGGTGCAGACTTAAAAATATAATAATTTTTTTTTGTTATTAAGTTCTATAAACTATTTTTAATCGGATTTTTTTCCAGGCCATCAGCAGCTTATTAAGACTTGTTTCCAGGCCATCAGCAGCTTATTAAGACTTGTTTCCAGGCCATCAGCAGCTTATTAAGACTTGTTTCCAGGCCATCAGCAGCTTATTAAGACTTGTTTATTAATTTTGAAGAAAATAATAGTTTGAATGTAAAATCTTTTTTCCTATAAGAAAAAAAGTTGTCTCCTACAAGAAAAAAAGGCACACTAATCTACCAATTTTTAAAACTATTTAATAAACAAAAGAAATAATTTTATAAAACAGAACTTTATAAAATGGCAAATAAATGCTATAAATCAAAAATAAGGAGATTTTGCTGCTTTATAAAAGTAAAAATATCTATAGAACTTCAAAAATGTTTTATTTTGTATTTTAAAAAATTAAAAACTATTTAAAAAAAAAAATGTGGAAGCGCAGGGATTTGAACCATGGCATTTCAGTTCAAAACGCTGCAAGCTAACCAATTCGGCCACTATATTGTTCGATGAATGTTTTAGGCATATTGTTCGATGAATGTTTAATTATTAAAAGATTTTATAAAATGGTAAATAAAAGCTATAAATCAAAATTAAGTAGATGTTGCCACAATCCAATTTTTAAGTAAAAGTAAATCTGTAAAACTTGATATATGTTTTGACATAACATAATTTGAAGTTTATATAAGTTAAATATTTGCATAGACTTTCGTTCATATTTTCTTCAAAAATTCAAAAATTCTTGCTATTAACTTGGGTGTAATGCAGGGTTGGCAAAAACCCGGTTTTTTTTAAAAAAAACCGGCCCAGTGGTTTTTTTTGGGTTTTTTTGGGTTTTATTGGGTAAATTTGGGTTTTTTTGGGTTTAATTTTTATTTTGTCCCTGTAAAAATTTTTTTTGTGTTTTTGTTTAATGATATTGAAAATTAGTTTCATTTTCTACTTTAACTTTATTTAAAATATATTTTAAATATTGTTGTTTAATTATTTATAACAAGAATTTTTAAAATTATTTTGATTGGTTATAATAGTTAATAATAATAGTTAATAATAATTTAGTTAATAATAATAGTTAATAATTATTTTAGTTTATAATATTATAGTTATAATGTTAAAGTTTGTTATATCAGTTCATAAACTTATTAAATATCTTTAAAAAAATCCAATAAAACCCAGATTTTCCAGGGTTTTATTGGGTTTTTTTAGGCAGGTTTTTTTGGGTTTTATTGGGCGGGTTTTTTTTGGCGGGTTTTTTAATGCCAACCCTGGTGTAATGGCTACTGTAACTCTGTGCAAACATACACAAGTAAAAAAGAGTAGCAGTATTAAATTTAATATTAAAATAATATAGGATGTGCTTACTTACATGATTTAAAATCCAACTAATATGTTTAAAAAAATCATACATTAGTATTTGAGTTGAAGGAAAATGTAATTTTAAAACTCTTTGTGATTTGAGTAAATCAAAATGCAACTGTAATGTAAATTCTTTTATGATAATTCACATTCTGAATTGAAAAGAAAACATTCTTTAAAATGCACAAACAATGTTTTAAAAAACAGTATACTCACACTTTGAAATATTTTAAATCATGTGCATGCCTAACTTAATTCAAATCAGCTTATTTTTATTATGTTTCGTAAAATTGTATGATGCATTGTAGTATATTTTTTAAATGCAGTGTATAATTTGTGGTAGTGAAATTGTGATTTTTATTTTTGAATTCATTTGCTTTATTTAATTGTTTATTTCATTTTTGTTTAAACTGATTGATTTAGTTATTATGGCAGCAGAGTGTAAATCCATCGACTGACTGAAAAACAACATTTTTTAAAAATGTCTGCTCAACCCCTCAAAATGTGTTCTATATAATATAATAATATTTTATCATATAGAACACATTTTGTTCTATCGAAAAAAAATATTTTTAGGGGTAGCTCGAGAACCTTAAACATAAGGTGGGTCCCTAATATTATCAACAAAAAAAAAATTTATCATAATTTTTTTTTCAATGTTTTTTATAAAATGATGATTTTTTTTTAAATAATGGAAAGTTTTTAATTCCAATATTATTTCATTATATATTACACATTTTATTTGGTTAAGAAGACATTTCAAAAAATGTTGTTTTAAGAGTCACCCTAATATATATATATATATATATATATATATATATATATATATATATATATATATATATATATATATATATATATATATATATATATATATATATATATATATATATATATATATATATATATATATATGTATATATATATGTATATATATATATATGTATATATGTATATATGTATATATGTATATATATATAAACATGTAAAAAATTATTATTTCTTTTTATGCATTAAACTTGGGAAAAAAAAATAATTAAAAACCCAGAGTTTTTGTAGCTTTCCGCTAATTGATAAGCAGTTAACCCATCTTTATCAACCAATAAAACATCAGCATTGTTTTCAATTAAAAGCTCAACAATATCTTCATGGCCATCGATACATGCTGCCATTAATGGTGTTCTAACATATTAACAAATAAAATGTATCAAATGGTGATAAAAACTGAACAAATAAAATTACTAAATATTAGAGCTTAGCAACGTCAACTAAATAAAAACAATTTGAAATAAAAAAGTATATTCAAATTACATTTAGCTATGAAAATTATATTAAAGTATTATTTCTATAAGCAGTTTAGCAGTATGGCCAATAATGTACATAGTAAATTCTTGGCCATACTGTTAAACTGCTTATAGAAATGCAATTTACAATGAGGGTTTTTATGATCATGAATGTAGACAGGCGTGGTTGTGACACAAAATAAGAGGGAATAATCAGTAAAATTAAAATGAAATATTAAAAATCTATTATAAATAATAAAATGAATAATGACATAAGAAATCAATAAAATATGTAGAAAAAGATGTAAATTAAATCAATTAAATATTATAAGATTTACCTTCTTTGAGAGTCAATACAATTAACAGCTACATACTCAGTTAACAAAAAATCTACAAAATCTTTATTACCCAAGGCACAGCATAAGTGAAGTGGTGTAACTTGATTCTGAGAATTAAAAACAATTTAACACTTAAAATTTTCAGTATAAAAACTGATTACTCAAATATTTAATACCAAAAATATTTTTATTACTTTTGAGTCATTTCAATTCATTATATCAATATAGGGAAATTAACACTTTTTTTAACAGTTTCATATTTATAATACAAAATAATGCATTGCTGCAATCAAAATCTTCAGTAGAATACACAGCAAATTATTAAAAAATAAATAACAACTTGAACAATATTACTGTATATTAACTTATACTTTGTGCTTAAGTTTTAATGAAACATTACTGATGACATGGTACTGAAACAACAATAGAAAAGAACTTCAGCACATACACCACTGATTTGGTTGAAGTTGGTTTGGGCATTTTTATGCAGCATAATTATTTTTTATTTCCATTATGAAGTTTTGGTGCAAAAACTGCATGGCAGCATAAAAATTCTAGACCGTTCATAATTGAGCAAAGCTGTAAGTCAACAACAATCACTTCAAATAAAGATCTAAAAAACTTCAGACCTTTTTCTGGGTTTGAATAAATTTTTAAGCTATTGTCAACACTGCTGGGAATTGTAGATTGTAATATTTCAGTCTTGGGCCGCTTTGATTTAATTGCAAATAAAGTTATTGTTCCATTTTTACTTGTAAGTGACTTTGATTAAAACTAAATAAGTAAAAAAGAATTTTGGCCAAAAATCAATACCAAAGCTGATATCAAAGCAGAAAGTTTCTGTTCACAACTGACAACAATAAACATGAAGACAGGAAAAAACTCCAAAGGATGTGTGAGAAAAACGAATGCAACTTTGTTGGATAGTAATTGATGCAAGATTTAGTTTTGAAAAGAGATTTGTGTAGACATAAATGTACTAAAAAATGCTGTAGTTTCTTTACAATGACGAATAATTTAAAATATATATTTATATTATTAACAACAAATTACAAACTTTTTTACTGTTATAATACCTATTATTTTCAGAACTTATTCAAAAAATAGATTCAATCATCCATACCTTGTCTTTAACATCAAGTTTTGCATTATGGTCAGCTAACATCATACCAATTTCAATGTTACCTTGAGCAGCTGCAATATGCATTGCTGATACATGATTCATATCAAAAACATTTGTTTCAGCACCATTTTTTAAAAGACATTCTACAATTTTTGTATTGTTTTGTTCACAAGCCTGGTTAAAATAAAACAACCTATTATTTTCAAACTATAAATTTATATCATGATAACGATTTTTCATTAAATATAAACTTTTATTAAACTTTTACCTTCATTAATGGTGTTTTTCCTTCTGAATCACTCATGTTGACATTAGCACCGTTTGATATAATAAACTCAACAATCTCTGCAAACCCTTGTGCACATGCCAAATGAAGCACAGTTCTAAACAAATAACATTACAAGTTTACTATTAAATTTAACAGGATGTAAAATTCATTTTATGAAACCTAAAACACTGTAATCTAGGAAATGCAATCTAGAGAATGCAATCCAGTTATTGCTATCTAGAGAGTGGTAAAAGCATCATTCACACAAGCCGTAACTTAAAAAAAGCCTTTATTAAAGTCTGAATATAAATGTAGTCTGTCCAATCATCCTAAAGCAATATCAACTCAAAAAAGCAGTCCAGATTTTTAATAAGAATAAAGTCAAAGTTAGCTATAGTTGTATACCAAGTGTAAAATCTAACATCAATTTGAACATGAAATATTTTATAAGCAATAATACAAACTCTAATCAGGAAAACTGCCTTACTTTAACAAAAATCTCTGTCTATTGTTCAACAAATATTAAACAAGCAACATTCTATATCAAGCAAGTGTAACCTCTGCTAACTGCGATACCTCTCCTAATGAAAAATCCTACCTTGGTATAAGTGAGACTCTTTTTAAATTAAGATAAGCTAATCACGTTAGTATTTCACTTATTACTGATCATTCTATTCATTGATTTATATATATATATATATATATATATATATATATATATATATATATATATATATATATATATATATATATATATATATATATTTATATATATATATATATATATATATATATATATATATATATATATATATATATATATATATATATATATATATATATATATATATATAACATATATATCAAGGGCTATTCTAGACCGTTTTCGACAGTGTCGACCATATTTAAATTGGGTACAGCCCAAATTAAAATTTGAAGACTTTTTTTTTTTAAGTTTTTTACAGCAAATATAGTATTTTTTGCAAAAAAACACTAATTTTTTCGCTTCAGTTTTCCGGGACAGGGGAAACCCTTGCCCAAACTTTTTTTCTAGAATAGCCCATGTATATATATATATATATATATATATATATATATATATATATATATACACATATATATATATATATATATATATATATATATATCTATATTTTTTTTTTTTTTTTTTTTTTTTTTTTCATTTTAATTCACCTCCTCAAGGCCGAGAAGGCCACTACAGACGAGGAGGCTACTTATTTGTGGTTATAACCCTCTCTCAACTCTATAACTCCGAAACACAAACCTTGACGAGCAAGGCCGCTGCGCAGAGAAACGAGTTGAGCGCGGTACTACCAGGGACGTGGTGGGGATCGAACTCGGAACCACTCGTTTATGAAGCGAGTGCTCTACCACTACACCACTACCGCATATATATATATATATATATATATATATATATATATAGTTGTCAATTTAAATAAACACATTTTAGGTACATCTGACTTCAACAATAGACTTAAACCAATCTATTTAGATAAACTGTCTAAACTAAATATTGATATATTTGTCTCATGATTAGATCCTTCTAGGAATGGCAGACGCTTTTTTATAACAAATTTTATAAATAAATTAAAAAAAAAAAAAGAAAGAAAGAAAAAAGAATAAAAAAAGGAAATAAATAAAACAAAAATAAAGAGATTGAAGAAAAGAAAAACAAAGAAAGAAAAAAGCAGAAAACATTAATAAACATTAATAAAAACCAAATCAAACAAATAAACAAAAGAAAAAAAAACAATAAGACAAAAGAGAGAAAAAAAAAAAGAAAAAGGATAAAAACATTCGAAAATGGGAAGTAGTTAAAAAGAATTAAAATAAAATATAAAAATTGCTTCGTTTTTGAAGAAACAAAAAAATTAATTTTTAAATTAAAAAAAAATAACTTTTACATTTTATTAATTTTGAGGGACACTATGTGTTTGCTGAGTATTAGGAGATGATTTCCTTTTTTTATTTGTGTGTAGTTTGTGTGTGACAAATTTTTTTATTTGTGAGTGTTATTTAAAAAAAAAAATTGTTTATTTATTGTTATTTTTTAATGAAATATTTATATTACTTTTATTGTTTTTATTTGATTATTGATATTAGGATTATTATATTAAATCATTATTACTGTTTTTGCAGTAACTGTTTTAGTTACATGGTAGGTTGTTACGTTGTCAGTATATAACTGCTTGTAACTTTCCTGTCTATGCATGATATTCAATTGTTGTTTTAAAATTGATATTGGCTTATTATTATATAATTTTCTTATTATTCTTATAATTGTTAATTTACCATAATCATCATCATCATTATTATTTCTACTATTAATACTATTTCATGGTTTTTACTGAAGATTGGTTTTTTATCTATTTGTTAATGACCTCGATTGTAAGATCTTTTATCGAAATATATTGATTGATTAATTCTACAACAGAAAATGAGGTTTATTAAAATTATCATAAGTGCAATTAATTGCACTTATGATAATTTTAAAATTGAAAATACTGACTTTATAAAGTGTGAAAAATTTAAATTCAAGTTTAGTGGTTATTCCTCGTATTATATATCTGTATCTGTGGATTACTCCCAGTTAAAAAAACAGAGTTGCTTGCTTAATGTCTACTGAAGTTTAGCCTATAAGTCTACTGGTATGAAAATATTTTAAACCCAAAAATAGCCAATAGCAATGGTATATCTTTTTATTCATTCAAGTGTGGTTTTTTAAAAAAAAGTGTTTTTGCAATTAAAGATTTGTGTCATATATACATTTTTGATTTATTACAAGAGCATTGGTTATTACCCGATGAGCTTGAATTATTAAACAATGTGCATCCTGATAGTACTGGTATATCAGCAGCAAACATATCATCTGACATATTAATTTGCAGACCCTTTGGAGGGACTGTTATTCTTTATCAAAAAAGTATGACAAATAATGCTAGAACTGTTAAATCTTTAGAATCTAGAATCACTTATTTAAAAGTATGCTAATATAGAGCCAATTCTGCTAATAAATGTGTACATGCCAAAAAATTGTAATTCTATGGATATATGTTCAAAAGTAAAATCACTAATAGTGGAAACTAATGCCATGAACACAGTTATTGCTGGCATTTTTAACTGTTATAATGGGTCAAGATTTCGTGAAGAATTTTCTAATCTTTTTTTAGAAAATAAACAGATTAAATCTGATATCAATCACCTGAATAATGTCTGTACATATGTCAGCGATGATGGATCTTTTTCTTTGTGGTTAGACCACATTCTAAGCAGCCCAAATATTGATAATCTAACTACATCTATATCAGTTTTAAATAATGTAATTGTATCAGACCATAAACCATTAGCATGTTTGATTTCTTGCTTATTAGCAAACTCATAAATAACAGCAAACCTTATTTTAACATGTACACTAAAATTTCTAATTGGCAAATTAGTGACACCTTAACACTTTATGAAAAAAAAGCAGACTTTTTATTGAAATCCGTATATCTACCACTCTATCTACATATATATATATATATATATATATATATATATATATATATATATATATATATATATATATATATATAAGTAAATTAAAATGATTTAAATTAAAACAAAACTGTATTTATATATAAACAAATATATAAATAAAACTACATATTTTTGTTATTTTCTTGTAAAAAAAAAACATATTTTTGTTATTTTCTTGTAAAAAAAAAAAACATATTTTTTTCATGAGAAAAAAACATATTTACACTTGATGATTGCATTTAGCATGAAACTTATAGTAGTAAAAAATATGTAGTTTTATTTATGATATATATATATATATATATATATATATATATATATATATATATATATATATATATATATATATATATATATATATGTCAACTCTCTGCCAACCTAAAATTATCTGAGGTCCACAATTTTATGCTGACAACATATCTATGTTATCATGGTAAAAAAAAAATTGTTTTAAATTTTGTGCAGACCTGATGCTGACCGAAAATAGTTAAAGGATATGCAATTTATTGCAAATGACTTTATTTTTACTAACTCTAAGGGTTAATTATATATATATATATATATATATATATATATATATATATATACAGGCTTCGGCAGGAATAAAAACCGTACGGGCTATGAAAAGCCCGTCTTAAATAGACTTGGCGGGCTATGAGGGCCGCCCATCTATATGGTCTTGCACGGGCTTTTTTAAACTTTAAAAAAAATTTGAAAAAAAGTTTGAACTTTTTTTTTTTTAAATTTGTTAATTTCTCTTCTTCTTTTTGAATGAAAATGTCATTGAATATTAAACATTTTGTGAGTTGCACTAAAATAATATGTAAGAAAGCGATTAACTGTTTAAAATGCTTAATTACTTAAGTAACTAAAACACTGCAGTAAATGAGTTGGATAATACTTAAAACTAAGATTTTAATAATTGTTTTTCAAAGTTTTCACTTGCACAGATCTAATTTCGTTTCACGTGGGTTAGTTGTTTTATGGTTGCTTTTGTTTAGATTTCTTACTCGAAGGAACTTTATTCAGTTTTTTATGTTTTTTTTTTTAATCTTTATTCCAGATAATATCTGGCAGATATAGTCAAACGAATGAACGTGAAAACGACGGGAAAAATCCTCGAACAACCATGGCGTTTCATCACGTTTCCTTATTCAAGCATCCTAACGTGTTTTTTTACCGAAGTCTTTTTGAGTATATTTATATATTATTGTTTTATTCGAGTATTCGATTAAATTATATAGGTTTTTATCGTGCTTTTTTAGTTCATTCGTTTTTCTTATTCTTTGTGAATAAAAATATTACATAATATTTTCAAAATCTAATTTTTTTAATTATTCAGCAAATAGTTTGAAATCTTTTTTTTTTTTTAACCTTGAATCAATGAGCTCGATAGTTTTAGAATTGTTTGGTATTAGCTTGGTAATATGATACGTAACTATGTTATTTTTCAAATTCAATTATTTATATACCCTTGCATTCTATTGGGCGTGCAAATTAAAAACTTAAACTGTTATTTATATTTTTATAACTTTGCTTTACCTATGCCTATCCTGATCGGAAATAGTTATT